AATGGAGACTCGTGGGACCTCGTGTGCTCATCATGTGGAGACCGGGAAAGGGGCACTGCGTCCTGTGGAGGGTCTCCTGACACTGTCCATGTGCGCATTCACGTTACTTCTTTGTGCATAAAGAGGCCTGGACAGCCCCAAAGAAGGCTGAGATCACCTGAGAGGTGCTAGCTGAAGGGGTCCAGACAGACAGAAACAGAGAGAGACCCTGGTCTGACTAGAGATGCTGCCCCTGGCAGCAAGCCCACTCAGGGAGCCTATATTTTAGGTAGAACACAGATGCTGAGTTCACACTGGGCACTTGTCATCTCCCCAGCTCAAAACAAGCCAGGGCAGTGACAGGGTGGTCCCAACACCCCCAGGAAATTCTTGGTGTGAACATTTGGATTTAGAGAACACTGAGCTTCCCCAGCATGTACCAGTACATCACAGAACTTTCCAGAAAGTCAGCCACATTCTTCAAATTCTGGAGGACCCAGGAACTGTCCTCACCTCCAGTTAAAGAATGTGGACCATCCTGCACCTGCCTGCTGGCCAGCTCTTCCCTGTGATAATAGGTGCTTCTTCTCTAACATGCAGAAGGGACGTGAGTCACACAAAGCCACTGTGGAGGTGACCTTGAATCTGCCGCTGCCCCAGGCTGGGAATTTCTGGACCATGAGTGCCTCTCCATCTTTTCTCTCTCAGCTGCCTTTGGAAGGCATATAACCTATGTGCCCAGGAAAAATTGGGGCAGGTACACAATACAAGTGGCCCTGGCTCTGTGCACAGCTGAATAAGATCCTCCATGGCCCAGAGGACAGTGTCACATGCTGTCCCCAGGAAGACACACTCCCAGGTAGGGCAGAATGACCTAAAAGGCTCCTCACCTCTCAGTTCTAGTATCTTCATTCGGGATCAGGACATCAAGGCGAGAAGGGGCATCTGGGCCACACAGACCTCCCCCCTCCAGGAGGCTTCCACTTTCTGTGTGCCTTTTGTCCTGTACACTTACCTACAATGACCGATTTGAACATCACGGCCTGTGTGGAAGCCCCTGGGGACTTAACGCCCGAGCTGGAGCAAGAGCAGGTCCTGACAGCAGGTCCCAATCTTCTGCGCACAAGTGCAGGTCCTGGCCTTTAGCGACACCCTCAGCAGGAGCACGTGTATGTTCTCCACATGGGTGGGACCTTGGCACCTGACCAGCATCACTCTCCACCACACCTGACCTTCTGTGAGTTGAGCTGGGCCTGAAACCCCTGCCCTGAGAGGTCCAAGCCTAAGTCACTGTTCACAACTCCAGGTCAAAAGTTAGTCGCAGACTTACTTGACTTCAAAAGCTGTGGGAAGAAATAAAGGGGGAGTAGGTTCACACAGCGAGAGGAAGTATTTAAGACAGAGAGAGAGGGATCCAGGGGGAAGCAGGAAAAACCCTCTCCAGCCTTTACCCATCCACTTCTGCCAGCCTCTTGCCTGACTTGTCCCCTGCCTTCCATCCTCTTGCCCTACAAGTGACCTGCTTCAGTCACCACCACTTCTGCAGCCCATCCCTTCTGACCAAGCCCCTGACCCTCAGCACCATTCCTGCTGGCAGTTTCCCCTAGGACATGCCACCATCCTTTGTCATCTCCACCCTGAAGATGACAGGACATTGTTCATGGAGTTTCTATGAGAGTTGACGAGGCCACTTGTCTTGGAACCTCAGATAGCCTATCACACTTCTTCACAGGAGCTCCGTAATGTAGCATGTATTATTGCCTTATCCCAGAAGCTAAAAATCATCTTTGTCCCCAGATTGGAGGCATTCTCCCTGTCTCTGCTGATGGATGGTGGACCTTCCTACTCCACTTCCCAAGAGGAAAATCCCAATGCCTCCCACGCCTGACTCGTAGCCCTTTCCCATGGGCCCTGCCTTGGAAAGCCCCCTCAACTCTTTCCTCTCTTCATTCCTCACGTCCGGGATTTAGGCCTTATTCTCAAATGTTCCCAGGAATTGCACACATCACCCAGGAGTCTCCTTATGCTGGGGAGGGCCTGGGCTGGGCCTGTAAGTCTGCCTTGCTAGCCAGCTCCTGGACTGCTCTGGAGACAGCAAAGGGCCGTACCACATCGGGAGCTGAGGACCACATCCACCTCTCCTTCTCCAGAATTTAATGGCAGCTTGTTACTCATAGCCAAGGTCTTTACTCTATAGACACCTAACTTCCTCAGGCAATTTCATTTCCTACATCTGGAGTTGGGCCTCCACTGATCCCAACAATGCAGGTTGTTGACAGAAACGAGCTTCTCATGGCCAAGCCACCTGTTCACACAGCCGTGGAGGACCTCTTCCCTTCAGCCCTGTACTGTCCATCCTCATTGCCCCAGCTGCTCCCACAGGACAGGGTCCGGCAGACCACACCAGGAACTGCCCGGACAGGAGGTCGAACCGCAGCTTCCTTCAAGCCTCTGCCCCTCTGCCTGGTCATTCCTCCACCTTCAGCTCTAAATAGCATTTACTATGTGCTTCATTTCTCTGGAAGTTTGCTGACCACTCAGGGTGTGTCGTAAGCCCTCCAACTTCATTCCTCGTGGCCGAAGCGTGAGATGAGGCTTCTGGGGTGCTGCTCTTCCAGTGCAGGGAGCCGCTGCAGGGCAGAGATGGGACAGTGCTCAGCTTTGTATCTCCAGGCAGCCCTAGCAGGCAGCCTGACCCTTGTCATTGCCCAGTGAAGAGTACTAAAAAACTCTAAGTGGAATAAAAAGATGGATTTCTGACCAAATTGACAGCTGGGTGGCTTTTGAGGGGAGTAAAAATAAAGTCTGCTTTGCTAGGCATAAACTATTTTGATCATCTCACTTCTGGAGATCACATAAGTTTTATGCACCACACACTTAGCATTTGGCAGGCACACAACAAATACTGTTTAAATACAAATCCTTAAAATTCAGCATGGATTTAGCTGCAGTTTCAAAAAGTATTTCTGTAGAGATTCGTGTCTTTGCCTTGCAGGTAGATTTTGTGAGCCCTTTGGAGAGGAGAGGTTCAGGGATGATAGGGCAAGTTGTCACTGGCATTGGAATATAAGTGAGACAGTAAGAGACTCCAGATGGAGCGACAGATTTTGATGTCTGGACTTCTATCGCCTCCTGCTGGTCATACCAGAAAATGCAGCTTTGCTAAGCTCTTGCGGATCTCCATGACTAATAGATGAACGAAATGATCTTTGTCTTTCTCAAGGGTGTTGGCCTCCTCTAGGATCATCGAGCATTTGGAGAGGAGGGCTATCAAATTAATGTATGATATGAGAGAAAATGTCTCAACCAGGAATCCTGCCTCTCCAAAGTGGTATTAAGCCAATTAGTCCTTCTCAATTACTCCGTAATTTACTCAAGTGTATTAAACGTATCATGGCAATGTGCAATAACAGATTTTTTTTTAAAAGAAAGGCAGCATGTGGTGATGTGTGGCTGTCAAGGGAGGGCCAAGACTACATACAGGAGGTGACAGGTTGTTGTCTCTATCATTCCTGGGTTCAAATCACTGCTCATCCAAATCTCTATCCTGACTTTAGGCCCATCCCTCACCCTCCAGGAGCCTCTACTTCTCAGTCCTTAAAAAGGTATTGTGCTAACAACACCTAGGTAAAAGGTCCAGCACAAAGTAGGTGCTCACTCAGGGTACAAAAGCTATTTGTGTGTGTGGCTTACTTAATAAATCTAAAATGTGAACCTGGATGTGGTGCCACACACCTATAATCCTAGCTACTTGGGAGGCTGAGGCAGGAGAATCACAAGTTCAAGACCAGCACAGGCAATTTAGCAATACTTTGTCTCAAGAAGAAAAAAAGAAAAGGTTAGGACTGTAGCTCAGTGGTAGAGCACTTGTCTAGCATGCATGAGACCTGGGGCTTGATCCCCAGTACCAAAAGGAAATAAACAAATCTTAAATATGTATTTTGGAAATAAAAAAGAGGAAAGATGTCAAAGTGATGATTGCCACTACCTGGTGTTTCTGGGCTCTCTGTCAAAAGGCGCTCCTCAGGCTTTCGTGTTAATAGTAGCAATTACTGAGGAACAGGGTTTTCCATGCTCAAGCCCATGTCTGCTCAACTGCAAACATCAGTGTTGCTCCTGAGAACAGCCTGGGGAGTGAGTGTTTGCTGGCCTTGGTTCTGAAGCTCAGTCCATCTGCTTCCCCCGGGAGGCTTCATACAGGATAGTGTTGTCAGTGGATGGGACCCCACACCTCAACTGCAGTCTCAGTGGGCCAGGTCCCCAGCCAGTGCAACTTCCAGCAAGAGTTTCTACACCACCAAGCAGTCACCGTCACCTCTGACAGCAATCTAAGGCATTTAAGTAAAACGGAGCACTAGGCGGGGCTGTGAGGGGACCACCGGCAGATCCCCAGCAAAGCAGAGCCTTCTTCTGTGTTGAACCATTTTGTAATTGTGTCTGCCCCAGTGCATCCACCGAACACCCAGTAAATGCTTAGCTCCTCCCCCAAGTGGCTCTGTGTAAGGGGAGTTTGGCCTGGCTGAGTAGAGAAGGGCTTCGAAGCTGGCCCACAGTTCTGCCTTCCAGACCTAGGAGGCTTCTACACAGGGCTATAAAGACAGCAAGAGTGTCCAGTACAGTGAGAGAGGAATCAAGATACAGAGTAGAAAGCATGGACCTTGCTAGGTGGGAGAAGTACAGTTTGGCCAGAGAATGGGGTTTGGGAAGGAGATGGGGCCAGCTGGAAGGGTGGGGCCAGACTGTAAAGGCTCCAGGATGCCAGGGGAGCCATCCAGATGCAATCCCAGTTCATGTTGAGCGCCGGGCCTACAAAGCTGGACCTCTGAACCTTGGCTCCCTCCTTTGCACCTGAATGGTGACAGTGACTGAAATCCCCCAGCACAGTGTAGATGAAGGAGATGATCTAAGAGAGCAGCAGGCAGAATTCTGGGCTCTTCTCATCCCCACCCTGGTCGTCACATGACAGGTGTCCCAGGGCCTGCGGTGGGTGCCTCCTTGAAGTTGTCCCTACCTCTCTGCAGGTTCACCATGGAGACTTTCTGTCCTCTCCTGCTGGCCGGTTTTAGCTTGCCTCTTGCCAGGGCCAGCAAGGACAACGAGACAACCACTGCAGAGAGCAACTGGACCAACACGACCACAGGTAAGGACGCCACCTCCCCCATTGCCACCTCCTCACACCATAAATGGGTGATCGAGGTGGACGAGATGAGAGGAGAAAGTCACGGCTGACTTTCTCAGTGTGCTGTCAAAGAACGGACAGGCTGGGGGGGCTGAATGCTCAGCGTCTCACTGAAGCTAAGCTTACAGTGCTCAAGATCAAGTCCACATCCCCGCTGAGAGTAGGCACCAGCCTTAGAGGGAAGTGAGATGCAGAAGATTTTAAAATCCCCTGAAATCTCTTGTAGAACCCAATTCAAATCATCTGAAGAACAGATAGGGGAAAGGTGAGCACACTATGATTGGTCAGTGATATTAATTATATTGCTGTAATGTCTGTTGCCCATATTCTAGCTTGGTAAAGTAGTGAGGTTTCTTTTTTATAAGAATAAAAAAAGACAATATCTTTTAGAGATGCAAGTAGGAGCTTTCATAGACATTAGAATTTCTAAGACTGTCTTGGAGAAGAGGGAAAGTAGGGTAGAATGTAGACAGGGCTCTAAAGCCATAAATAAGCAGCGTTTGCACTGTCTCGGTGAGAAAGGTCTGGGTTAGGGTTACACAGGCCGGGGAATATTCTGTTCCTCGCTATTTTACAGTTTAAAACTCAAAACAAAGAAGAAAACGTGTACACTGAGCTGAGTGTGGTGCATATACCTATAATCCCAGCATTCTAGAAGGCTAAGAGGCAAGGGAATTGCAAGTTTGAGTCCAAAATAAAAAGTTAAAAAAATCCTGAGCATGGGACTCGGTGGCAGAGCACTGGCCTAGCCAGAATAAAGCCCACTGATCCACCCGCGCCAGCATGAAGGAACCTCCGAAACAGGCTCAGTGAACAAGCTCGACCTAGACACCAAAGGGCAGGTGGTATGTCATTGCTGCCCAGTGTCCTGGGCGGGAGTGACCAAAGAAGGGAGGAGGGACCTTGCTGGGGACATGGGAATGTTCTCAATGTGGATCGTGGTGAGAGTTGTACACCACTGTGAATTTATTAAAACTCGACTGGCTTGGGTGCTTAAGTGGGTGTATTTCACAGTATGTACTTTTACCTCAAAATGTATATAAATACTATGCAAAGTTAAAAGGAGGAAAGGAAGAGGAAGAAGGAAAAGAAACAAAAGTGACTCCTTTTAATCACATGGCCTGGGGTTGCAATTCTCTGTCCACTAATTGTAGGCTGAGTGACCTCGAGCGCTGACTTTCTCTGTGTCCCATTTGTGAGGTGGAGGTGATAAGGCACTGACTAATAAAGGAATGTGTACACTTGAGCACACCCTGGAATGCTGAGGCCAGGCTCCTCTGCACTGGCCTTCAGTGTGGTCCACAGGGATTGTGTCCCGGGGAAGCGGCCATCCGCCTGAGGCACTGACACTTCAGACTCCCTCGTTATCGTTTTTGTGGATAGTGCCTAACCCAGGGAAACCCATGCCCAGTGAGTGAGTTCAGAGTCCCCAAGGAGTTGACTCAGATTTCCTGGGTGAAATCCATGTGTTTCCTAGTAGACTTGTAGGTCTCTCTGTGGCTACAGCGCCACCCGATGGCAGTGTCAGGAGCAGCCTGTAAACAGCAGGCACTGATCTCACCTTCCTTTGTGTCAGGCCTGGTGTGGTACCACTGCTAGCACCTGCTCTGTCCCCTTCCCACTACACCCCCTAACACTAGGGGACACCAAGCCATATGACTCTCCCATAAGCATAGCCCTTGCTGTGTTAGGGTTCTCCAAAGGAAAAAGGACATATAGAGAGAGAAACATATAACTCTGTTTATTATCCACAAGTGAAATTGTGTATTTATAGCATATATAAGAAAGTATATATATACATATATATATATATATACACACACATATACTTT